TGTGTGTGTGTGTGTGTGTGTACCATCAAATCGGATCTGACTGGTACAGGAGGAGATTGTCCCTCCTTTTCCTGGCAGAGCATCTGGTGGATTTGAACTCCATCTTCTTTTAATGCTTCTTGTATTATTTAATATTCTGCCCAAAGCATTCTTAAGTATTACAACTTGAGGCTTGGATTTGTTCTGAGGGACTCCATTTTGTAACCAATATGTCATTTTAAAATATATATGTGCCTCTAGAGCAGTAAACTGAAAGCTGTGGGGAAAGGGAGAAAAGAGCCCCCACCCAAACATCAGCCAATCCTGTATCACCCTGTTTTCACGGGCTTTCCTTTGAACCAGCCAATCCTGTATCACCCTGTTTTCAAGGGCTTTCCCCTTTAAATAGGCAGGACAGCCCAGAATCGGGGCCGCGGCCATCTTCCCTGTTGTATGGGCACGGTTTGGAACGCGGCCCGGATTCGAATCTGAAATAAATTCCCTCTTGCCCTTGCATCGGTGTCGGCTCCTTGGTGACTTGGGGGGAACTGGATTTGGGGCATAACAGTTCTTCTGTTCCTTCAGCATAAAAAATGCCGAGCAAGTGTGGATCACAACTAACTGTGGCTGACTCTGAGAAAAATGGCACTGTGCTTATGTGAAACTTATACTTGGACCAGGAGGCAGTCGTGAGAACAGGGCAAGGAAATACTGCATGGTTCAAAATTGGGAAGGGTGTATGCCAGAGATGTGTCCTATCTCCATACCTTTTCAATCTAGATACTGAACAGATCATCAAGGAGGCTGGGCTCTATGAGGGGGAATGTGGCATCAGGATTGGAGGAAGACTCATCAACAACCTGTATTATGCAGATTACACAATCCTGCTTGCTAAAACTGAGGACCTGAAGTGCTCGCTGCAGAAGGTCAGAGACTGCAGCCTTCAATATGGACTGAAGCTCAACATCAAGAAAACAAAGATTCTCACCACAGGGTCGATTTGCAACATCAAGATAAGATGGCAAAGAGACTGAAATTGTTAACTGATTCAGTTTGCATGGCTCCACAATCAACAGTTTTGGTACCAGCATCCAGGCAAGTCTGCTATCAGGGACCTCTCCAAAGTATTGAAGAGCAATGATGTCAGTCTGGAGACTAAGGTGCTCCTGATCCAGGCCAAAGTCTTCACAATTATGTGCTATGCATCAGAGAACTGAACAATGAGTAAGGATGACAGAAGGAGAATTGATGCCTTTGAGCTGTGGTGCTGGCGAAGAATACTGAATATACATGGACTGCTAGGAGAACAAACAAGTTCATCCTGGAGAGGGTGAAGCCAGGCTGCTCCTTGGAGGCAAGGATTCTGAAGCTCCATCTGACATACTTTGGACATGTTGTAAGGAGGGACCAGTCTTTGGAGAGCGATGTCATGCTTGGGAGGGTGGAGGGACAGCATGAGATGGATCGATTCAGTGACATGGTAATGGGAGTAGGTGTATCAGAGACAGTGAGGTTGGCACAGGATAGAGCAGGGTTCAGAGCTGTTGTACATAGGGTCACTATGAGTTGCAGGGAACTTGACAATACAGGTACATAAAAACAACATCAGAAAAAAAAACCAACACAAAACCAACATCAGATGGTTGAACCGACTGCCTGAGAAGTGCCTTTCAGAGGTCCTGGGGAAGCGTGTGGACGCAAGTGTGACCGTGGCCTATGTATCTCGAGAAGCAACTGATGGAGGGGAATCTCAGTGGAAAACGTTTTCACCTCACAGAGAACAACCTCTTGCCATCATTCATGTCTGTTCCTACTCATGGTGACCCGACCCTCCGATGTTCAGAGTGGACCTGCTCCGTGGGGTGATTTTTGGGAAGGAGATTGCCAGGCCTTTCTTTCGAGGCATTTCTGGATGGACTCGTTTCCAAGCTCTTGTTCAGCAGCTTGGTGTGTTAACTTTCGGCATCTCCCAGGGGCTCCCACTGGCACCATAGAGGGGAAAAAATAACAACAACAACAGCACAACTTCTCAAATTGCAACTGCCCTGAGGGTCTAGAGAAGGATCCTGTCAAGGCTGCCCCAAAGGGGATCCCCGAGTCTTGTCCAATCCCATGACCCATGAATGCATCAGAAAAGTGCTAAGCCAGGGAAGCAAAGGCTCTGTCATGCTGTGTGACCCTGGGCTGGTCTCTTTGCCCCTCTGATCCTCCGCTTCCTCATCACACATGCTCACTGCCCCTCAGTCTGAGATTTCTCATCACAACCGCTAGAAACCCTACAGAGTGCATTTCTAGCCTGAAACACATGAAGCCAGAATTGACTGGAAGGCAAAGGATCGGCCTGCTTGTTTTGAGTTCCTGGGAGCTGAGGCGATCTTGGTAGCGCACTGGATTAAGCACTTGGTTCACCAATCAAAAGCTATTTAAATGCACCAGTCACTCTGCACTCTTGGCACCAGAAGTCAGGAAATAAAAAGATAAATTGCATTAGGTAAATCTGCTGTTAGGGACCTTGCCAGAGTATTAAGAAGCAATGATGTCAGTCTAGAGACTAAGGTGCACCTGATTTTTCTTTGCAATTACTTGCTATGCATCAGAGAGCTGGACAATGGCTAAGGATGACAGAAGAAGAATCAATGCCTTTAAGAATCAATGCCTTTGAGTTATGGTGCTGGAGAAGAGTCTTGAACATACCATGGACTGCCAAGAAAAACAAATAGGTCTGTCTGGGAGAGGGTGAAACCAAGCTTCTCCTTAGGGGCTAGGATTTTGAAGCTCCGTCTCACATACTTTGGGCATGTGGCCAGGAGGGACTAATCCTTGGAGAAGGATATCATGCTTGGAGGGACGGCACCGAAGAGGGTGAGATGGATTGATACAGGAAGTGGAGCAATAAGGCTTGGTGTGTTGGAGTCAGTGAGACTGGCTCAGGACAGGGCAGGCTTCAGAGCTACTGTACATAGGGTCGCTATGGGTCACAGATGACTTGACAGCATGTAACACCAACAAGTCACTCTGCAGGAGTCTGCTTCCATAAACAACTACAACTTTGGAAGTTCTACCAGGGCAGGCTTACCAGGCCCTGCCAGCTTGCTCTGGCTTGGCATTCATCTGACAGCAGTGAGTTTTGGATTGATTTGGGTTTTTCCTTGATGTTCCCCTGAGACCATGGTCCTCAGGCTGTAGGACCCTTAACTCTTTCTCTCAGGGTATTTGACTGTGATTAAGAAGTTTATATAACTTAGCCCACCCCCCAGTGCCCGTTGGCTCTGCCCTGGGTGTAGGTATATTTACAGCATATATTAATACGAGTGTGACATGAGGCTGCCGAAACCACGGAGAGTCAGGAGCATGGCCCTCTCCAGCTTCCCAGATCTGTTCATCGTGATGACAGTGGGCTTTGGGGACTGAATGAGGGTGTCAGCCCAGGGGGGATTCCTGAAAGGGGTCCTCCTAATCCCTGCCTATCCTGGTGGACTGCCCTCCCTCCCTCCCTCTTGAAGGTCTTTGAAGGGGCTTCCCCAGCTGGAAGGGTCTGAGCAGTGCGTACCTGCCAATGGCGTAGGTATAAGCCCCGGGCCAGAGATTGGAGCGCACCACGGCCAGCGAGTACTGCGAGGAGAAACTGCAGGACAGGTGAGCAGTCCAGGGCGAAAGGTGCATGATTTCTGCGGGCAGAAGGGCAATAAAGCCAAGGGGTCGGAAACCCTTCTGGGCCTGCCTCCCCTAGGTCCACAGAAGGAGGTGAAGAGAAAGAGCGAAAGTTCGTTCTCAGCTTAGAGCACTAGCTTATGTGCTCTGGCATCCTCCCCCGGCTGAGCCTCAGTGGGTGTACCTGTGAAATGGGTGCAGCCTACTTTTTGCAGGGTGAACACGAGGCCTGCTGATGACATGTACTTGCCACAGTGGCTGGTGGCACAAGAGGAGAAGTGTGAGGCTGTTAACAGAAAGACTGGCTCCCTGAACCCACCAGCAGCTGGGAGAAAGATGGGAAGTCTCCTGTTTAAGACTGACAGGCTCAGGAACCCGATGGACAGTGGCCATGGTTCTCAATCACCTCAATGGCAGGGAGTTTGGTTCTGGGCTGGCCGTCATGCCTGGCACCCAGTGTGACCCCCCCAAAAGGAGGCGGTCGTATTTCTTACTCGTACATTCACCACACACTTGGGCCACAGGCAGCTGCCAGGCTCTCAGAATTCTGAGTTCAAAACCAGCTCCTCCAGCTCTCCTTCAGATGCCTGAAGCCCCACCCACAGGAAACCCCTGTCCCTTCACTTACAGTCCATGTCGAGGGCCGTCTGCTCTGGGGGCCCTTCTGAACCACAACTCCCTCCACCCTGGCCCTTGTGGAGCCTTATAAGGTGACATACTACGTCTACAGTGTTGCCATGTGCCAGACACTGCTCACCACGCCCGTGTGAGGGAGGCACTGACATGATACCCATTTTACAGATGAGGAAACAGTGGAGGCCTCAGAAGTTTTGGAAAAGGGAACACCAAGCACTATCTTTCGGGTGGATGGGTGGCTGGCTCGGTGGAAGAATGAACGAGTGAACGTCATTTAATAAAGGGCCTTTGATGTTGTGCCACTGAGTGGGAATGAACTCACAGCCGACCCTGCAGTGGGTTTTCTGAGGCTGTAAATCACTCGGGAGGAGACTGCCCATTTTTCTCCCTTAGAGCAGGTGGTAGATTTGAATTGCTTGCCTTTGAGTTGGCAGTGCAACTTTTTACCCACTAGGCCACCAGAGCTTCCAGGGACTAACAGAAACTAAATGTTTGATATTAATTAAGGACTCACATCTAAACGACCTGCTGGGGACACTGAGGCCCAGAAGATCAGATGAAACCAGCTGACCCCAGACTATCGTGCAAACCCATGAGCCCCCACCCTGTCAGAGGTATGCAGGATGACGGGGTGCAGAGTGAGGATGATGGTTACCTGCATCTTCTGAGAGTGGTGTCAGGAGTGGGGGACCAACCTCCTGCTCCATCTCCTCCATCCCCTCATCCGCCTTTTCTTCCTCTTCCCCCAGTTCCTCCTCTTCCTCTGTCTTCTGCAGAGGATTCACCCAGGTGCATCGGCCCTGGAGGGAGGGAGATGGTCACAGGCATCTCACTGGGGACACAGCCCAGCCTGGACCCGGGGTGGGGGGCAGGTGGAGGGCCAGGCAGGATCCAGGGGCACTGGTCCTGTCATTGTGGGAGCAGGGGTGGGCGGGAGCAACAAGTTCAGTCACACAGGGAGTGGGCAGGGAGAGAGGGGAACTGAGAGCCCCTTCATATGATGACAAGAGCCGGGAGTGTGGGAGTTCCTGCCTTCTGGTGGCCACATGACCTCGAGAAAGTGGCTTCTCCCAGTTATGCATCCATTCATTTAATGATTCTTTTGTCAAATCATCCACGAGCACCGACTAAAGGCAAAAGGAAGTCTGGTGGCACGCTGCCTTACACATTGCACTGCTACCTGAAAGGTTGGCAGTTCAAATCTACCATCTGCTCTATGTGAGAAAGAGGAGGTGGTCTCCTCCTGCAAAGATTTACAGCCTCAGATCCCCTACGGAGGGTCTCTATGAGCTGGGATCAATCCAAAGACAGTGGCTTTGGGTTTTAGTATGGGCAGGAACTACCCCAGATGCTGGTATACATCGTGGAGGAAACAGACACCCCCAAATCTCTGCTCTTGTGGAGCTGACATTTGGCAGTCCATGTGAGTGCTGGTTGGCTTCTCCGTGCCCTGGGGATGTCACAGCACCTCTGTGGGATGTTGGTGAGTCACAGGAGAAAGCAAAGGGACAAAGGGTGATGATTGTAAGTGCTGAGAATGTAACGACTCCAGTTTCATCAACAGTGAAATGGATTCAAGATTGCAGCTGTTAGTCATGCTTCAAGCTTGGACATAAACTGACTCCTGTGATTTAACTTGGTAACAATAAACAGGCCTAGGAGGTGAACAGTAACCCCACAGAGGCCTTCCTTGCTCAGAATAACCAATCACATTTAAAAACAAAAAAAGGCAGCATTCTCAGGCAGGAAAGGAGAGGACAGAAGGATGAATGGAAATGAGAGTCACAGGGAGGAAGTGGGAAGAGTGGGAATATAGTGTGGGAACTGCAAGAAATGTCACAAAACCAAATGTACATCAACAACTGAACAGAAAACCAATTTTACTCTCTAAATGTTCTCAAATCACAATTTCAAAAAGAAAGGAAAAAACTGCCAAGTAATCAAATAATCAAACAAAACCCCCCCAAACAGCCCATACAATCAATCAAATGGGAATGAGGGGGGAAGGTGGACAGGGAGAAAAGGGCAACAATGAAGGAATGGAAATTCAAAGTCTCTGTAAACTTTCATTAAAATTAATAAGAAAATAAAGACATTCTTAAAAAAAGGAAAAAGAAACGGGAATGAAACCTGAGCTATCTCCAACATGACATCGCAGGGTCAAGACAGTGCTAATTGAGTTAACAAGTGTGCGCAAGGAAGCACGGCCAAGGATGAGGAAACGGACAAAGCCAAGCTTGGGTATATGCCAGGCACCCAGGAAATGCAGATCTTATCCATAATCCACAAAGTTCTGAAAACAAAAGTAGTGTCTTCTGTTTTCACAGTGTATTTGGCAGCAGCTCTCAGCTGAGCTAATGAGAGGTTCTTTTTCTGTAGAAACCACACAGTGCTTGGATGCTGCTGTGGCTGCAGCTTCAGGCTTTAGGCTTTACGTGTGTGATGGAACGTGGAGAGCGCACTGGTGAGGCAGGGAGCTGCTGAGTGAAGGGCGGCAGTCAGTGGCAGTCAGCTTCCCTGGAAGGCCACTGGGCTCCGTCATCTTTTTAAGATAGTAAAATAGCTATACTCTTTTTTTTTTTTTTAAATTTTTTTTATTTTGTGTGAGTGTACCGTCAAATCAGATCTGACTGGTACAGGAGGATATTGCGCCTCCTTGTCCGGCAGAGCGTCTGGTGGATTCGAACCATGTTCCTCTGGGATTGCAGTGCAGCTTCTTGCCACTAGGCCACCAGAGCTCCCCCAAATATCTATACTCTTGTGTACCAGCAGGTCAGATCGGCATAGGAGGAGATTGCACCTCTTTCGAAGATTGCTCCTCCTTGCACCTGATTTGAACCAGCTTCGGGATTGCAGTGCAGCTTCTTGCCACTAGGCCACCAGAGCTCCCTATATATTTCTGTTGTTGTTAAGTTGCCATTGAGTCGCAGGCAACTCATAGTGACCCTATGAACAAAAGTCTGGACACAAGCTGTTGTGGAAGTGGATGCCACTCCTGCTTCCAAGCTTCTTTTAATCGGGGAGCTTCACCAAACACTGTCAACCATGGGTAACCATTCTCACATTTGACTCATCAGTGTCGCAGTGTTCAGCTTCACAGCAACCACGAGTTACCTCTGTACAGCATGTGTACACACCAGGGTTACACGACCTAGAAGAATAGCTTGCCACAATAGCCTGCCTCTGGAAACCCTATGAACCTGGAGAAAGGACGAAAGTTATACAGGAGGTGTCCAGGACTTACGTTCATAGGGTCGCTATGAGTCGCCCTCAGGCCTGCCTTTAATTGTTTTTGGTTAAACATTCTTCTAGGTCCCTATGTTTCTAGACTTTTAAAAACCAACGAAGAAGGTTATCTTTTGCTTTTCAAAGAGAGGAGCAAACTGGGGGTGGGGGAGGTAAAGAAAAAAGTGCAATAATGAATGAATGATAATCCAAAATCTCTGTAAATGTTCATTAAAATTAATAAAATTAAATTTAAAAAAAAACCCTCACCTGCCTTAAAAGGCTCTCTAGCAGGGGAGTGTCATCTATTGTTTTAGGTACCATCGAGTCATAGCATTACTATGAAAAACGGATCTACGCCCTGCCCTATCCCTCGCCATCTTCACGCCCACTGCTGCAGTCACTGAGTCAATCCCTATAGCTAAAAATCTTCCTCTCTTTCTCTAACCCTCCACTTCCCTTCCTCCATGATGCCTTTTCGTCCCAGGACCGGCCCTTAGGCAAAGATGGTGATTGCTAATTAGTACCTGTTTAGTGAAGGTCTCATTTAGTGGAGAATGGGGTTTTTTTGCTGCAAGCTACTTTCCAATCTATGCAACCATGTGTATGCAAAGAACAGGGTTGTCCAGGCTGGGATCTTTCAGAAGCAGGTCACCAGGCTTTTTTTCCAAGGCATCTCTGGGTGAGTTTGAAGTGCCAATATTTGATTGGTAGTCCAATGTTCCACTGGGCCAACTGGACGCATCAGCATGGATGGTGAAGAGATTGAGATACTTAACAGTTTTAATTAAGTTGGCTCCACAGTCAACACTCTTGGTAACAGCAGCCAGGAAATCAGGAGACGAATTGCATTGGGAAAGTCGGCTGTGAGGGACCTCTCAAGAGTACTGAAGAGCAACGATGTCAGGCTGGAGACTAAGGTGTGCCTGATCCGGGCTATAGTCTTCGCAATTATGTGCTATGCATCAGAGAGTTGGACAGTGAATAGGGTTGATAGAAAGAGGATTGATGTCTTTGAGCTGTGGTGCTGGAGAAGAGTGCTAAATATACCATGGACTGCTAGGAGAACAAACAGGTTTGTCTTGGAGAGGGTGAAGCCAGAGTGTTCCCTGGAGTCAAGGGTTCTGAAGCTTCGTCTGACATATTTTGGGCATGTTGCAAGGTGGGACTGGTCCTTGGAGAGGGACATCATGTTTGGCAGAGTGGAGGGACGGCACAGGAGAGGAAGACCTTTGGTGAGATGGATCGATTCTGTGACTGGAGCGGTGGGAATAAGTGTGTTTGAGATGGCTAGGTTGGCACAGGATAGAACAGCATTTAGAGCTCTTGTACATAGGGCCGCTATGAGTCGCAAGCGACTCGGTGGCACATAACAACAACAAGTCCAATGTTCAATTATTCAGACCACCTGGATACACCAAGGTGAGCTAGAACGGGCCAGAGGGCAGTGGGTCTGATTTTGCCTAATCTTCATGGAGGCTGACTGCCACCTTTCTCTACACAAGCAACTGGTCGGTTGGACCTGCTGACCTCTGGTTGGCAGCCTTGTGCTTTAAAAACTGCACCATCGCTCTTCCGGAGACACTGTGTAGAGGCATTCAAAATGGTCCAGCGTCTGACCTACCGTCGTAGGCTGTCCTACAACACAGCCTCTAACAAAACTAGGCTGTCCCGAACCCCTGGTAACAGAATTGTTTACCTTTATACCAAGAAGGTTGGAAAGGCACCAAAATCTGCATGTGGTGTGTGCCCGGGCCGACTAAGAGGGGTCCAAGCTGTGAGACCTGAAGTCCTCATGAGGTTGTCAAAAACAAAAAAGCATGTCAGCAGAGCTTATGGTGGCTCCATGTGTGCTAAGTGTGTCCGTGACAGGATCAAGCGTGCTTTCCTTATTGAGGAGCAGAAAATTGTTGTGAAAGTACTGAAGGCACAAGCACAAAGTCAGAAAGCTAAATAAAAAATAGTTCATGTTTAATAAATTCATAAATTTGTTCTATTAAAAAAAAAAACACAAAACTGCACCACCAGGACTCACTCCTTAATATGCTCACGACCCATCCGCTTTCCAAGGCCCTAACTCTTTACAAGAGGAAACTGCCTAGCTTTCCCCCACAGGCCTGCTGGTGGATTCAAACTGCTGATCTGTGAGTCAGTCGACTGATGCTTTACCGGCTGTGGCGCCAGAGCGCCTTCACTATTTCAGTCAGAACTGACTCAAAGCGGACACTGTAGCGGGTTTTCAGAGGCTGTAAATCACATGGGAAGAGACTGCCCGCCTCTGAGTTAGCACCATAACGCCTTCCCCATTTGGGGGCCAGCTGTCGGGTACTGTGGTAATGTGGATTCGGAATCGATTCATAGTTGACCCTCCAGATTTTCAGAGGCAGCAAATCGTACAGGAGGAGATTAACCTCTTTCTACCTCGGAGCATCTGGTGGATTGAACCTCCTGCCTTTGGGGTGACAGTGCGACTCCTCACCACTAAGCCACCAGAGCTCCCTATTTGCAAAGCCTCCCTGGGAATTCCTTTGAAGAAGGCCCCTGGGTTAGGACGGGGAGGCGCGCGCACGGGCGGGCTCGCTCACCTGTCGCAGGATGTGCTGGGTGTGGTGCACCCAGTTGGCCATGGAGTCCACCAGCTCGCCCACGGGGATGCCCTCGAAGTCCGGGTTTTCCTCGAACGACTCGCGCCCCGCGCCGCCCTCCTCCTCCTCGTCGCCCTCTTCCTCTCCAAACTGGTAGAAGCCCAGCGGGCTGATGTGCGTGGTGGCCGAGATGCGGGCGATCTGTGCGCGCAGGTAGTTGGCCTCGTTGCCCGGGAAGGGCGGGTAGCTGACCACCGGCGCGTCCAGGTAGCCGGTGAAGAACTTCCGGATCTTGCGCGCGTGCACGATCTGTGCCGGCGTCACGTGCGGCAGGCGCGTCCACGGCAGGCCCGGCTCGTTGCACACGAAGTACAGGTACTTGTTGGCGCCCGAGCGGCTCTCCTCCTTGGGGACCGTGGGTGGCGGCTTCCACGTAGGTTTGGGGACCTTGTCCACCGCCTTCTCCTCATCCTCCTCGTCCTCCTCCTCGTGCGCCTCCAGGAGGTCGCCGCCCTCCGTTGGCTCCTCTGCCTCCTCCTCTTCCTCGCCCTCCTCCTCGCCTTCCCGGAATTCCACCTCGGCCACCAGGTAGCTGCGCTTGAGGCCCAGGATCTTGCCCCAGAAGCGGCAGGTGAGGATGGGCTGCTGCTCCACCAGCTGCTTGAAGGCCAGGAAGATGCGGAAACTCTCATCCGAGCCCAGGCCGATGCCTGCCTGCTCGAAGTAGAAGGCCGTCTCCATGATGTTGGGCACAGGCGCATCCATCTGCAGCAGGTGGGATGAGAGGGACGCAGAGAGGAGGCTGACGCCCAGCTCTCTTAAACTGACTCGTCTACAGAGTTTAGAGAAACTACCAACAGAAAGGTTGGTAGTTCACATATATTAGTATCATGGAACCCAGCCACCTACTCAAGTGGTGGCCACAGAACCACTCTGGCCAGTGAGATGTAAGGGAATTCCCCGAGGGAAGTTAGGCCTTGATGGCTGGTGCGGCAGCAGCCATTTTTTCATTATGAAACGATAACCTCAAGGACCAAAAATCATCAAGATGAAGTGGGAAGAGCAAAGGGGAGAAAGGGCCGAGGATTCTTTGAGACCCCACAGAGATGCTGTCCAACTCTGGATTCTCTGCCGGTGGACACCCGGCTGCATGAGGTCACTTCACATCTGCTGCTCAGAGCATTTTAACCAACACTAAAGTCCATGAACATCAAACAACAATAACAATGACGACTACAAAGAGAGAGCTGTGTTGGCCTAGTGGAAAGGAAGCTATGCTACCAAGCTGAATGTGGGTGATTTTCATCTGTGGCCCTCGGCCAGGTTCAAATTGTTTTCCTGTCAAACATTCTTCTAGGTGGTATAGCACTGGTCTGTGTGTTGCTGTACAGAGGTAACTCGTGGTTGCTGTGATGCTGAAGACTGTGACAGTGATGTGCCAATCGTGGTAATGGGTACCCATGGTGGACAGTGTTGGCTGGAGCTTCCCGACTAAATCAAGCCTGGAAGCAGGAGCGGCATCCACTTCCGAAATGGCTTGCCTCTGGAAACTCTATGTATGAACAGTGCTCAGGCCGTTCGTTCATAGGGTCGCTATGAGTCGTCTTCGACTCGACGGCATCAAACAACAACAACAAAGTCCGTGAGTGGCATAAACAGTTTGAACTCCATCACTAACCTAAGCCTTGGTGGGTGAATGATACCCAGTGACACTGGCCATCTGGTTTCATGAAGACTACAGTCAGGAAAACAAATGGAGCTGTTCTCTGTACATAGGGTCACCAGGAGTCAGAATTGACAGCAAGGCCGTGGTTTGGCACTCTAGGCCTGTCTCCCTTGCTTCCTGGCTCCGTGCCCTCTGAGTCTCAGTTCCTTTCTCCATAAAAAGGGCAAAGTACCGCACTTGCCTCATAAGATTATGATTCCCAAGGGGGCTCTGGTGGCCTAGTGGCAAAAAGCTAAACTGCAATCCCAGACGTATGTGGTTCGAATCCATCAGATGCTCTGCTGGAGAAGGAGGGGCAGTCTCCCCCTGTACAAGTCAGATCCAATTTGGTGGTACACGCACAAAAATTAAAAAAGTTAT